TGGGAATAATGGGAAATAATCTGTATGCATATTAAACCTTGAGAGGTGATGCTTAACTAAGTGGTCCTCAGCCCAGGCCAGTAGGATTTCATGGCCAGTTTGAAGAAGCACCTCAACTGTGACTCTGCCTTCCCACAGATTCTGTGAGTCTGGGCTGTGTCGTCCTGTGGTTTTCATCAAGTGCCCCATGTGATGCTAAGGTTAAGCAACTATCAAGCATGAGGGTTTCCGGGTACGTTTCAGAGAGTGGAGTTTATTTATTTTTTTCCAGAAAGAGGTTGCAGGGCCCATATTTTCATTTCCATAGCAGAAGTTGTTGGCAGGGAAGGGCACTGGAGGCCAAGAAATAAGAAACATGTACTTTGGTCTTTATGTGAAATCTCCTTCCCAACTCCTGTGATAAAGAACAGGAAAAGGTGAAATTTTTTCTGTACTTCAAGGTCCCTCTATGTGTGGATATGGTAGGTGGTAATAGTGAAGGGTTTAGGGTGATGCCTTCAAAGGCATGTGATCAAGGTGCAGGAGTAACATGTCCAGATACTCTCCCCTGAGAAGGAAGTCAAAGCAAGGAGGAGAAAGAGAAAGAAATGATTGCTCCTCAGGTAAATTGTCCAAGGTCTAGTGCTGTGCCCTCTGTTTCTCCTGCACTATCATGTTCTCTTGTGATGTTCCTGCCTAATGAGTTTGTTTCAAAAACAAATTTATTTCTTATAATAGTCAAGGGGTTCCAAAAATCCTTCTCCTCCACTTGTATGACTGAGTCTTCCTTCTATTCTCTTCATCTAATCTTCTCATACACTAAAAAATTCTACCTTAAATTTATATCCTGAAATGGTGAAAACGTTCCCTTTCTCTCTGCTGAAAATGGAAAAATGTGGATGCCTAAGATTCCCATTATGGATGAGGTTGGGTCATTGGCTGTTAGCAAAGAAGGGGAATATGTGCAGTTTAGCTTCCATCTGGAAGTTCTGTCAGTTCTGCATAGAATGAGATGAAGCACATGCACTTTTACAGAGGACCCCATTAACTGCCTAAATTAACTCAATGTTCTGGAAACCAGAATAATTAGCAAAGTCTGGCTTTCCAGAATGCTAAAAAGGACATATTTAAAGACATGATTAGAGACTAGAAAATAGGCCAGGTATCTGTACCTTGAACTTCACTAAACACTAGTTTTTTGTTTTTTAAACTAGTTTTTTATGAGATTATGATTTAGGTTTTCTGCCCTATCACAGCAGTAATAATGTTTGCACTTGTGAATGGGCGTCATCTCTGTTTATTGGTTCAGAAATCAACTGTGATAAATCAGTGTCTATAGTTCACTGTGTGTTTGACAGAATATTATCATAGGACAGACTCGCTGGCTTCCTTTTGATCCTGTTGGAAATGTAGAAAATGAATCTTCACCCCATACCTTCTGAATAAATTTCTATATTTTTTCAAAATCTCTAGTTTATTGCACACGTTTAAACTTTAGAGGTATCATTTAACTCACCATCACTTCTTTTTTGTTTTTGAGACAGAGTCTCACTATGTTGCCCCATTAGAGTAATGTGGCATCACAGCTCACAGCAACCTCAAACTCTTAGGCTCAAGTGATTCTCTTGCCTCAGCCTCCCAAGTAGCTGAGACTACAGGTACCCGCCACAATGCCCAACTATTTATTGTTGCAGTTGTCTTGTTGTTTAGCTGGCCTGGGCCTGGTTCGAACCCACCAGCCTCGGTGTATGTGGCTGGCGCTGTAACCACTGTGCTACGGTCAAGTCCCGGCTGTTTTTCTTCTAGTTGTCGTTGTTTGGCAGATCTGGGCCAAGTTCAAACCCTCCAGCCCGGGTGTATGTGACCAGTGCCCTAGCCTCTGAGCTACAGGTACCAAACCTCACCATGACATTTTCATATAAAACATACACAACTTATTCTGTATGAGGTAAATAAGGCACAAAAGTATACACGCCAGTACTGGTGGCCTTTCATTTCTATTGTGTCAACCCAAAAAGTGTAGTGTGTACACCGGTTTTGTGGATATTAATGCCGTCCCCTTTCCTCCTGTTAGACAACACATGAGGGAATATATGTCTTCTATACTTACCTTTTACGTAATTCAATTTTTTCATGTAAGTCAGAGTAAGTTCTCTTCATTCATTTAACTAAAAGTGAAGTTCAGTCTCCCCTGGCTTCTTGGTAAACATGTTTGTTTTTCAGGAACTGTTGACATTCAAGGACGTGTCTATAGAGTTCTCTATGGATGAGTGGGCCTGCCTGGACCCTGCTCAGCAGACTTTGTATCGGGATGTCATGTTGGAGAACTACAGACACCTGGTCTTCCTAGGTGAGGAGAACTGAAATATACAGTGCCTGGTCTACACTAAGCAATTCATATTTTCTCTTTGTAAAAGGTTTTTATTCAGTTTCTTCTTTGACTGCATGAGGATCAGTTTCTTGGTCTCTTTTCTTTTCTTTACATTTTTGGCTGGGGCTGTGCTTGAACCTACCACCCTGGTATATGGGGCCGGTGTCCTATTCCTTGAGCCATAGGCGCCACCCCCGTTTCTTGTTTTTAAGGAAAATTTAAGTATATCATGGTATAGAAAAGAAAATATCAAAGATGAGTTATAGTGGCATTAATCTTACCCTTTTTGTGGCTGATTTATATCCTTCACTAGATTAATGGTAATTTCAGAAATTTTGTGGCATAGATTGTTACCCACACCTTTAAGTCTGATTTCTACCACCAAATTTTATTTCAGTACTACCGGGTGGTGGAGTTAAAAATTCTCCAACTTTACATACTTTTTAAAGATTCTAAAATTTCTGTAAGGAATGTGTATTTGGCGATTATTCTTTCAGGATGTTGTAAAGTGTTCTTTTCTCTACTTTAGCAAGGTAATAGATGACCACTTGAAGAATTCCAACAAGAGTCATGTTCCTTTTTTCTAATACAACAGGTCTTACTCCATCTAAGCCCAACCTCATCACCTGTCTGGAGCAAAGCAGAGAACCCTGGAAGGTGAAGACATACCAGACAGTAGTCAAGCACCCAGGTAGGTTGGACCGAATGTGACAGATAACAGTGGTCGGAGGTCCAAATTTCAAGGAGGAAACCACACAGCATGATATGATTAGAGAAGCTCAGATTAATTGGGAATGACATCTGAGAATCCTGGGTTTCTTTCTCTTGTTCTTACATAGGGCACTTCTATACCGGTTTTTATAACCTGTCACCCTGGGTGTATGTGGCTGGCACCCTACTCAGGGAGCCATAGGCATGGCCTATTTTATTTTATGTTTGAGAGAGCGTCTCACTTTGTCACTTTTCGTATTTTGCTGTGGCATCACAGCTCTCAGCAACCTCAGTTTCTTGGGCTTGAGCAATCCTCTTCCGCAGCCTCCCAAGTAGCTGGGACTCGGGGCCCATCCCAACACCTGGCTGTTTTTAGAGACAGGTAGGATTAGAAGTATGCGCCACTGTGCCTGGCCTTTCATTATTTTATATAATTTTATTCAAATGTATCTTTTTGGGGGGAGAACCTTAATTATTCCATTTATCATAATGTGAAGATTTATCTTTATTAGAGATGTTAGAAGATTTCCCGATTGTTAGAAGCTGAGTAATACTCTTATTAGTTATATATCCTAAATGATATTTCCCCATTTAGATTTTGAGGCAGATGTGGATTTCTTTCACCTATTGAATTCTGTGAATAATGCTGTAATAGATATGTGTGCGAATAGCTCTTCATTTGACTGTGTACACGAGGGTTGTAATCCTGTCCTGTATTTTCTTTCACTATGTATTTTATACATATGCTAAACATTAAAAAGGACTTATATGCTACTAACAAGCCCTTATATTATTATTTTGTATTCTTCTCCTTTCCTGGAAATTTTGACTTAAAGTATATTTTATGAAATAACACAGGTTTTGCCTCAAAATATACTGTGCCCTGGCTGGGCACAGGGGCATATATCTGTACTGACAGCAATTTGGGAGGCTGAGATGAGAGGATGTCTTGAGCTCAGGAGCTGGAGACCAGCCTCAATAAGAGCAACACCCCATCTCTACTAAAAATAGAAGATAAAATTACCTGACTATCATTACAGACACCATTAGTCCCTGCTTCTCAGAAGGCTGATTCAGGAGGATTGCTTGAACCCAGAAGTTTCAGGTTGCTGTGAGCCAGGCTGATGCCATGGCACTGTAGCCTGGGCAACAGGGTGACACTGTGTCTCAACACATGTTTGCGTATATATACAAAGAGACACACATGCACCTATGTACATATACAAATGCATATATATATCTTATTATTATAATCTCCCATGCTCTCATTTGATGAATATTTTAATTAAACATCTTTCTGCCCTGCAATTTTTTTTTCCTTTTGAGACAGTGTCTAACTATGTTGCCCTAGGCAGAGTGCCGTGGCATCACAGCTCACAGCAACCTCAAACTCTTGGGCTTAAGCTATTCTCTTGCCTCAGAGTCCCAATTAGTTAGGACTATAGGCACCTGCCACAACTACCAGATTTTTTTTTGTTGTAGTTGTCGTTGTTGTTTGGCAGGCCCTGGGCCCGGTTTGAACCCACCAGCCCCAATGTAGGTGACTGTCTCCATAGCCGCTGATCTATAGGCACTAAGCTTTTGATCTGTAATTTTTTATTCCATTTTTATCATTACATGTAAGATGAGTATCATTTAGATACTATATAGATGGATCTTGATTTTTTTTTTTTACTTTTTGAATCTCTATCTTTATTTAGTGTCTGTCATTTGATTGTGACGTTTAGTCCATGAATATTTATATAATTTTTGACAGAGAAGGACTTACTGTTGACAATTTATTAACTGTTTTCTTTGATTATTGCTTCTGTTTTCCCTTTTCTGTCTTCATTTATGTCTCATTGATTTGTGTAGTGACATGCATTGCTTTTTGTATTGTTTGAGTGTGTGATTATAGGTATTTTTATTGTAGTTACCATGGCAGTTACACATTTTCTTTTTTTTTTTTT